GGGGAATTTTTTTTTTTTTTTTTGCATTTTCTACACACTACATATATATGGAATGGGGAAAGGAGTACTAATGCCCTATCACTATGGGAAATGGGTCAGGGAAGTCTAAATACATATACTCTACTGGATAAGGGGAGGAAAAACTACCATTCTATTCTAAATCTCCTACTGGATATGGGGAAAGGGTAGAGACTAATACACATCACGATCTAAAAAAGCTTACTTCAGGTCTACAGTTTCTTTAAGAACTACTTTTTTAAAAAGTGCAATCCTAAGGATACTTTCCTGGAAGCAACCCTTACAGAGTAACACGGCACTTATTACTAAGTAGACCTGGATAGGTCGGTACCCTCTGCCCCTTTGCTTTTAGGCAGTTTTCCTTTTCATAAGATCAGTTGGATGAGTTAAAGTTAACTCAGAGCATAATTGTTGTTCAGGATGCTGTTTCTTTGCTGACACAAACTTTTTTAGTAGGAGTCTGATATTACTAACTGCATTTGAGGAGGGCAGAGTTTACCATCTCAGCTCCTTGTGATAAGAGTATTTCTGCTGAGAAACAAATATCTCGTCAACCTTCCACGCTAGATATAAGTTATGACCAGGAGAAGTACTAGAATTTTGCTGCAGCTTACAGTATTGTCTTCTCTCTCACACACACATTTTTTCTTCCCAGTGGACTCATATTAGAGGGAAGAGAATGCTGTTCCACTTTTAAATTAGGCAATGAAACAGTGACATGAAGCTAAAAAATAAAATTCAGGTAATTAAATGACAACTGAGCAATTTCTCTAAAGTAAAATGCTGGCTCAGAAGAGCTACTTCAGAACCTGAGAATAGCTCAGTCTTAAGAACAAGAATCATTGAATTATTTAAACAAATGCAATACTTCCCTTGTTGGAAGCTATAACACTGTCAGGTCTTCATACCAAACTCTGAGCAAGTAGAACCGCTTTAATTCTACCTTATTAGGTGTTATGAACAGCTGATTCACCAAGTATCTCTTACCAAGGCATTAACACATTTCTTTACCCATAGGCTAGGATGCTCTCATGCACTAATGCACTCCAATGGCTACTAGGAAACTTTATCCTTTTCACACTAGAGAAATCTAGATGTCCATTGCATATTAACTGCGAAAGTATAATGGTCTTGGTTAAATTGCTAGAAAATGCAAAAAAAACCTAACACCCAGTTATTTAACAGAAGAGAAGGAATAGTTCTTCAGTTTTCCTCCCATAATAGGCTAGTTTGGCTCTGCCATGCATTCTTTTATAGCAGTTTTGGTGAACTATTAAGAACTATACAGATGCAGTTTGCTCTGTGAAAAAGCACCCAGCATTCCCCATGATCCTAGTTGGCTTTCATATAGCTGTTTCTTTACATTTACTTAGCTAAACACACAGTGCAACAGTCACAGAAAGGACAGTATAAAGATGTCGAAAAGACCATAGCTTACCAATAGCTCAATATTCCCAACAATGCTAGTGGAAGTTTTCAGAAGAAATAACAGGTTTAGCCGCCATCCAAAAAATTATTACCACTCCTTTCCAAACAGGATGACTATGTTTTAACAAACATCATGGGTAAAGGAGCAATCAAGGGCATTTTCCTCCAGCTTTGCTTCATTTCCTGTGTTGTCTGCATATGGTACACTTTATGAAATATATCTTCAGGTTTCAATGCTATGAGTTTTAAACTTCTCCCCAATGATCACCACTAAACAGAAAGTGTAGAGTTCCAAGCTCAGCCAAGGCAAAACCAAACAGCATGATTTTGGAGAGAACTCATTTACAAAAAGGAAGAGGATCGGTAACATTTTGGTCTGCAGTACTCTTTAAGTTCCAAAGGGGAGATCTCAAGGAAACAAATATGCCATTAAAACTGACTGTCCAATGGCCTAACGGAGAAACAAAAGTGAACATTGTTAAGACTGATGATTCAGCTATCTTCTTCGACCCTCAAAACTTGGTTTGTTCAACTAAAGCATGATCCATCACAGCTTCAAAGTCAAGCCTCCATTAATAATACTATGTCCAGTTCACCAAGTTTAAAGAATTTATCCGAATTGCATTTTACATCCTCACATCAAGAGCTTCCTCAAGCCTTTTGAGAAACAAAGCCACAGAAGTTCCCCTTGCATTTCCACAATCACTCAGTAAAATGAACACTTCTGAAAAGTAAACTATAAACGCTTTTGGAAGTGGTTAAGAACATGCATATTCTGTGAAAGTGCTCAAAATCTGTAAATGATTCTTACTACGATGCAGAATCATTAAGCTGGTATTCTCTCGATCGGCTGAAGCATGCTTGAACCCCAGGATCTCTCCATAACCGCTTAATCACTCCTGCTAGCTCAGGAGTCATAACTCCTTCTTCTGCACTTCCAGCCAATACAAACAGCTGACGGGCATCATCCTGCAGAAGAAGGTAAGTATTTCTGTTATGCTATTACCTCATTACCATATATTGCTCAACTATGAGCATCGGAAGTAGTGTTTCTCAGCTGCAGTTTTACAATGGTGTGGCAGACCTTAGCACCCACCAGTGACTCTTTCCTTCCTCAAAAGGCTCCTCCATCTGACAAGCTAACTGCTAGTTGCAGGAACAATTCTTTGATGCACACCACATTAGACAGTTTCAGAGAGTAGCTGTGTTGGTTTGCAGTAGGACGATTAGATTTGAGTCCAGTAGCACTTTACAGACCAACAAGAGTTTCAGGGTATAAACTTTTGAGAATCAAAGCTCCCTTCGTCAGACAGAGTACAGTAGAAGTCTTCTACTCTACACACAGTTACATATAGATTAAGGAAACAAGTTTATTTATACTCCACTGTGACCAAGGGAGCTTTGACTCTCAAAAGCTTATGCCCTGAAACTCTTGTTGGATTCTAAGGTGCTAGTGGACTCAAATCTAATTTTACATTAGACAGTGGACTACACTGACCAGAACCCTCCCCCTCTAAGACAAAGTAAGAAAAACAGTGATGTTTTATACTTTTCTAGGTCTATTTTCCAAAGGCAAACACAGTGCTACATATAGATTAGAGAAACTGGTTTATGAATAGAATAGCTCAATCATGAAGTTCATTGAGATACGAATGGGAACAGTTATAGAAAGAACAACTGATTATGAGAATGAAAATCTTAGTTAACACTCATAACAAAGTTCACAAGAATAAAGGTGGGCAAAATGAACTTTCAGGAAATTAGATATTTACATTTACAATAGCACTACAGACAGAGATTATAGAAATTAAAATACAATTTGTAGAAATAAAAGCTTCACTAACAATGCATACCAAGCTAGCATAAAAAATCATGGAATTAAAATCATTGTTCTCACAGAAGGAAAAGTCACCAATACATACAAAAATCTGTGAAGATCCCAACACGGCATTTTTACACTGATTGTGCATTAATGATCCACAGCCATGGAAAACTGCTGCTTGATCAGTACAAGTTTTCACTCAAACAATTTCTGAATAAAGTTATGGTATGGGCATGGAATGTTATCAGTTCCTTACATACACCCAGGTGCACGCATCCAACTACCACCAACTTGCTACTTATTTTTCACCACCAGTTTTATAGATGAGTATTGCAAACTATTATGATCTGCAGTACTACTGAATTGAGATTAACTTACAGCTCTGGCAACTTCTCCAAAGTCTATTTTTAATCTTCCCATTGCTCTTATTATTGCAATGATAGATTGGATAGTATTGCTGTAGACCACCACTTTGTACTGCTTGCATTCTTCCTCTGAATAGCCATCCTCATGAATAATTCTGAAAAAGAAACAGATTCTAACTAAT